CAACGGCTTCTAAGGGCTAGCGGCTGGCTAGGCGGCTGTGCTCAGGCGGTGGTTGCGTGGAGACGTACACACCTCTATCCTATCTTATGGCTTTCCAACAAAATCTAATTTTATATCTTATCTTTCCTCTGAGGTACTAACGGCTGGGGGCCGGATTCACTGGCGTACATTGGTGTAACTCTACTGTATTTATACAAACTGCATAGACTAAAAGGAAATATTCAGAATGAGTCCGGAATGGCGTGATAGGTCGTGATTGATGAGCCATGTGGGTTGGTGGTTAGCGGTCCAATAGCGGTTGGAGTATTCCTAACCGTGGGTAGTTTTGGTTGCCAACCGCTGGCCCGTGAATATCATATCGTGGTCTGGGCCCGGTGACCCCGAAGGTTAGCAGTTACTTGTGATCCTGTTCAGCTGGTGACCGCTGGCAGTTCCCTACCATTGGCCATTAACCAATGTCTTTTATATAGCTTTTATCTCGAGAGGACTCTGTTGGGTGGCTTACCACTGGTCCAGGACCGACAGCAGACCATCTTCAGAGAAGGTTTATCTCCGGCTGGAACATCCGACCGTTAGCTTTCTGTCGTTCCGGTTGGCATGGTTAGCCATCAGGTGATCTCCCATCAACGGTTAGATCAACCCGTATCGTAGGAGGGAGTCCGACCGTATGAGGTTCTCTACCGTAGAGTCTCATTATCTTGCATCTTGTCTATTTAAAGCCCTACCGTTGGATTGCTCCCACAGGGGGCAAACATAACGGCACTTGTCATTACCGCAACCAAGCCGCAATCCACCGGGACTTGCTACGTCCTTGCTGCGTCCTTGCTGTCTCCTTACACAATATTATGTAATACACCGGTGCATCTGTGCAAGGGTTCGATTCCTACCCATCCCATTCTTTTAACCTCCGATACGTTTTTGATTGCAGCATCATGGGATGTCAGAAATATGTAGTGTGATGATTGTTGGCCCATAGAAAATCAACTTCAGGATTAAATTTTCATCTTCCAAAGGGACAATATCTTGAGAGTGCTCTCAGAGATGTGTGCAAATATATAAAATGCAGGGCATTGCCCACAATTTTGCAGTGCGGAAACAGACCAAAGTGACTTGATGGAGGTGATGTGTTTGTGCATTATTTGGAGGGGTACCTTGAGGGACACCTGGCAAGGACACGTTCCGCTGCGAAGTTTTGGCAGGCTATTCCTGGGGCTGTGCAGGGCTTTTTACCTACCAATGCCAGACAGGACAAGTGCTTGGCTTTTTCACAAGGTGGTAAAATCCCGGGAGTAGGTGTGATTCTAAAAACTATGCTCAGTATTCCCTGGAAATGCTTGTTGGACCATAACAAAGGGGAGTATGACAACATCTACTTGCTTGGTGCTGAAATTTGGCCAGGTCAAAGACATGCCTTCTTCTGCATTAATTTATCATGAATGGAATTAGAGGCACATTTAGTTTGACCCGTCATGGGTGAAAACATTGGAAATAAGAAAATGACGCTGCTCAGAATTGAACCCATGCACGGAGACCTCACCACATTACATAATATTCTGTCAATGCAGAGCAAAGACGCACAGAAGACGCAGCGAGTCTCGTTGGGTTGCGGCTTGGTTGCGCTTATGACAAGTGCGGCCATGTTTGCCCCCTGTCAACGGTAGAGGCTTTTTCCTGCACTCTTACCATGGGCGGGTCCTTACCGTTGAGTTGCACAGCCATGGCTAACCGTTGGGCCAGTAGGCTATAAATAGACCAACTGGCGGCTGGCTCTAAGGTGGTCCAACCGTAAGAGGTTCGGCCCGTAAAGTCGCCCATTATCATATCTTGTCTAAAAATAGTCCTACCGTCAGACTGTCCTGACGGTGGAGCCTTCTTTCTACATTCGTACTGCAGGCGGGTCTCTACCGTCAGGTTGCACAGCCACCAATGGCTAGCCACTAAGCCAGATATCTATAAATAGCCCAACCGGCGGCCGATGCTCCGGTTAGTACCGTCCGAGTCAAACTTCAACCGTTGGAGTGCCAAGGACGGGTCCAGCCGTCTACCGTTGTGGGCACTTTGTCGAAGCCAATGGTTGGCCGAGGAAATCTTGTCCAACGGTTGGCTGTATCATTCTCCAACTCCTTTTGGTCTTACCGTTGGGGAGATTTGTATCAAATCTTTGATGTTACTCCTTTCGAGTTATAGGTCCAACCGTTGGCCGGATCCTAACCCTAAGGTAGGGTTTGTGGTTCAAATCCCGTATCTCAATGAGGCTACCGCTAGTAGCGCTCAGCCGCCAAGACCATAGTAGTTCCTCTTGATCACCTCGGTACTCAAAGAGTCTGGTGGTAAACCAACTCCCGGAGCCCAGCGGTAGACCATAGAGCTGAACTAATACACCTGTTAAGGCTCTCAGTTGGGCTCCAAAGTGCTTGTTAGTTGCTGGCTTTCGACCGTGAGCGGTGTAGAATATTGTTCCGAGGAGAACATATTCCCTCAGTTCTAGTCTCACTTCGCCTGAGTATAGGTCGAGAATCGAAGAAAACTTGGTAGTTTTCATGCGTGTTTAGGTACACGCCCTATCATCGGCATCCTTGGCATTCAGAATGATCTCCAGAAGATTATCGCTGCCAAGCCAGCCCACTCGGTGTCAGCCGAGCTTAAGGCACAGCTCTTCACAATGAAACACATTTGTCTGATCATTTCTGGTAGACCAACATCCAAGTGTATGTAGCACCGGTGCTTTTGTCGCCAAAGCTGGCTACGTACAAGGGCACTGAGCCCGTACAACTCGTCTTCGTGCGTTGTTTCTTTCCATCTGTTTTCCTTCCACACCTTGACTTGGTGGCAACAGAATATCATCAAAAAATATTGGTTCGACACTCCCGCAGGATTTGAGAACATTCCGGCGGATGCTGCCAAGATTACGACAACCATCGAAGAGGCATTTACCCAGGGCCGCTCGAAGTTCAAGAAACTTGTGCGTGCTCATCATCTCCATCTTTTCTCGTACTGATACTTCTGCAGCTGTTTTCGAGCGTCAAGATTCTGCAGGACAAGAAGCCCGTTGACCTCCCAGCCGACAAGCACCAAAGTTTATTTGCCCTCGCGCAAGCACTTGTCAAGGGCACCAAATGTTGCTTCAACCCGGGGCTCTGCGGGCGGATCGCGCTGATGGTAAGTCGTACTCATCTTCCGTGGCCTTATCTTGTGCATTAATTATACTTTCCCCAGCGCAAGACCTTTCTCAGCTTTCCCGGCTCCGACTTCTGGGACAAGCTGGACCTTCGTCTAACCGCCATACGTGATGATTGCGAGAACGCCGAGGACATCGATATGTATGTCTTCTCGTCAGCGTGGTGTGCGGAATGAATCTGATTTCCAGGACCTTTGAGGCCCTCATCGAGGCTGACAAGGAGCTCCATGGCAACGTCGAGATCGTCTTCAAAGGTACCGACGACATTTAGGACGAAATCGAGGCCACGATTGCCACCGCCAGCGTGGTTGATGCGGCGATCACTGTTCCGGCTTCTGCGTCGGGTTCTTCGACAGCTACTGCTATTGACGGGGAGGAGAATGCGGCGGGCACTGAGGAATAGATTACTGTGTTTTTCGCATTTTTTCAATCCATATTATAATTTTCTGTCTACTGCGATGCAACGTCAAATGAAAGCTAGCTAGCGTCCTTGAGAAATGGTGAAAATAAGTGCCATTGCCGCCTATCCGACAGATGATGAAATGGCTGTACCTATCTGTCCTCAAACCGGATACGCAGGGTTACATTCGGCTCAGCGTCAGCCTTGTTCAAGGACAATGGATGGATGGTGAGATCACTCATTTGCGGCAGATTTGACAGCTGACTGGTGGATGGTGGCTCCAGCTGAACAATGGGTCCGGCTGGCCTACCCTGGTACAATAGGATCCAAACTCTGGCAATCAGCCATCACACAGCTGGTTTCCAGCCGACGTCGGAACGTGGCTGACCTGTGGTTTTCAGGTGGGTGAAAATTTACGGTGTATGATAAGCCGACCCTGCTGGCATACAAGACACCGAGAGCATCCGAGAGCACTACTTAAGTTAAATCATGGAGTCAGCAGAAATGACGAGTGATCACGTTTGTGTGCAAGTCACCTGATATTTTAGCGACATTTTCGGACCTCTGAGCACGGAAAAATCAAGCACGGGGTTGTCGTTGATAGGAATACATTTGTAATTCCGTGGGGGCTGCCGAGAAGGAAACACCACCTCAATAGTATGGTGCAGGTCGTACTCCTCGTACTCAAGGAATATCGGGTCCTTGGAGATACGAAAGAGCGCAACGGACTCCGCACACTCCTTCAAGAAGAACTCCACTTGCGAAATCGCTAGGCCAAATACACTGACTCCGTGGATGTCAGGCGCATCGTCTCCGTCAAATCCAACCGCGTAAATAAGTACGGAGATCAAGTAAAACATCCACGTCGATTGCGGCGGGGTGTTATGGCGACTGAAGTTGGACCGCAGCTCATTCTGGCGAAGCCGGGCGGCATAATACTAGGAGGCAACGGTTAAACACGGTCGACTGAAGATCCGTCGACAACATTGCGTACCATGTGGTCTACAATTAGACGTACGCAGACGCGCACTTCATGGAGATCCTTCGTGGTCAGTGAAGGACGCGTACGCGTGGCCCAACGGTCCTCCAGCACGGAAATGGCCACAAGAAACACCTTGAACCGGAGGTTACGATAAAGGAACTCCGCTAGGCCCCCAATCGGGACGTCGAGGCTTTCCGCAGGAAGGGGATGAATGGTAGAATGGAAGCGACCAATGGCAGAGGCATCCATCTTCAGAAAAAGTTCTGGTTTTCGACTTACGGATGGGTCATATTTATACGTGGCGCCAACCGGGGACGGTCGGCATTCAAAAGTGGGGAGGAGATGTGAGCTATCACTTTGTGATACGCTCCCTCCGTGGCTGAAAAAGGCAAACACGCACTACGGAGCACGCACAGAAAAAGGAAGGAATGTCGCAAACACAACCTGACCTCGAATCGAACGAGGGACTCGCATTTTAATATTATGAGGAAAAGTCGACTGCAAATGCGCGTGTTACCAGTTACGCCACCAGGTCTAGTCTACGAACGCCAAAGAAAAGGAGTTGACACACGGTTGATTCTCTCCCGTGGGAAAAAGTCACCAGGACTGGTGTACACGACCTGCCCTCGAATCGAACGAGGGTCTCGCATTCCAATATTACGAGGAAAACACAGTAAATGCGCGCGTTACCAGTTACGCCACCAGGCCTACCACTGCAAAAATCCCCAAATCGCCACGGTCCTCACGAAAATTAACAAATCGACATGATGCATACACAGAACACGGAACGGTAAACATCGCCGACGTGGAGTACTGCACGGAGTACGGAAAGTGTCGCCACGTCGCACATATCAAAGCTACGGAGTACGGAAATTGGGCGCACGGGCAGCAACGTTACAGTCCGTGAGTTAGGTATCTCCTTCAAGCGCACGGGAAAGCATGGAGATCCCCGCTGTGAGGCAAGGAGGGCAGTGTTGAAAGGGGTCCGTAGACAAATGAGGAATAAGGTCGCGCGCGGCGGTTGGAAAGAAATTAGTATAAAAGCAGGGACGTCCGTAGAAGAATGCATCTTATTACCTCCCACTGCTCATACCTAAGCTACTCCCCCTCGATCATACGGGGTGAGAATCTAGTCAAATACATACTCGCTCAGGTTGCGCCGCCCTCCGTGGGACCAACCAAGGTCAATTTGGACCGAAGCTTCAATCAAGGAGGCTTGTCCGTAGTACTTCCGGCTTAATAGAATGAGCCAGAGGGAAGTATAGAAAACATTGACGTTGATAGCTTGTGTGGTTGTAGAACGCGCGGCGAAACTTCCAAACGGCCAGCAGCCCAACTTAGCAGCGTGTAACCGTTGGCTTGGGCCTCTAACGCAGATATCTGCGCGCGGAGTACCACCCCCATCGTCGCGGAAGGCTTATCCGATTCGATTATAACCACTCCACGATTCATTCTCACCACTTCGCCACACGCACGCCCACGGAATTGACACTCCTTGGCCGTACCACCACAGCGTAGAGAAAAAGCCGGGTTACGAAGGACTACGCTATAACCCGTACACGTTGTGTTCGACAGTTCTGAGGATACTGCTTGCCCAACCTATACGAGGCAAGGAGATAAGAAAAGGAACCATATAGCCCAGGCATCTCGACACGGAACAGCGTTCATCTTGCGGAGCGTTGCCCTTCGCGCAAGTGTAGAGAACCCTCCGATCGAAGCTTTCCTGGAAGGCTAGCCTCCAACAAGGAAATAAATCCTCGAGGAACCTAGCGAGACTGTTCATTCCGTACGGAAGGAACTGTACCACCACCACCACCATTTTAAAATACATAACATTGTACTACCGTAGCAGACGAATCTCCACGACAGAGAAATTTCCCTCTAGAGGACGAACTAATTTCGTGCTTTTGCCTGACTATACCACACCTGGTCATACAACTCACGGAACCGCAGTCCGTATCACACCGGCACGTGTCAGTGAGTCCCGGACCTGAAGAGACGCGTCAAACACGTGTTAGACAGCAAAGATACAATATTAATATTGCACTGCACCGTACGCGTGGGAATGGTGGGGAACATCACCCTCCGCACGTCTTCTCCATCAATCAATTCTCCCGCATTTACTCTCTCAACAGCTTCTGCCATATCCTCATCCGAAATGCTCTTCTTCCGCCCCACGTGACCCTTCTTGTTGTTGAAGTGACAGTCTCCATCATGTTCCTTCACTTGTTCATAGTTTCGGGCGAGCGTTCGCGCGTGAAGTGTGGTGTTCTCGAAGGGCCATAAAGTCGTGATTTTTTTGAAACTGTAGCCACAGTGGTCGTGATAAATGACAGTGGCTATGCGCTTAGTGGGAGTACATTGAGTTACGACGTGTTTCTCCCGTGCATGGTTGGGAGAGCAGTCGGGGGGCATTGCAGACGGTGTTGGAGGCAAAAAGACCAGTCTGTGACTGCCGTGATTGACATGCGAAAATTGGGGCGGACTATTCTAACCGACTTTAACCGATGTCCACCCAAATGCGGTCGGGCATCTATTCTCGCCGTGACTGTAAAGGTTGTGGAGACAGCTTTCTGTCGAACTTCACGGAGGGCATATGCATCAAACTTAACAGAGGGCATGTGCGTCGAACTTCATGGAGGCCATGTGAGGATCTACGCCACAAGGCAGGAAGGGCTGTGTGATGGAGGCTCCATGAATGAGAAAGGGATAAGTTCGTGCGCAGTAAATGGGTCAGAATCCGGATAAAAGCCAGATGTACTTACCAAGGAATTATCTTGTTATCCCCCACTGCTCACACCCAAGCTACCCTCCCCCAGCCTTGTGGGGTGGAGTAGTCTCTCTTATACACAAACTAGCTCAGGCTACGCCGTCCTTCGTGGGGCTAGCTAAATAGGTCACTTGGATTGGAAGTTCGCCAAGGAACCCTTTTCAAAGTCCCTTCGACTCCGTAAAACAGGTCAGGAGGAAATTGTCGAATACAAAGGTGTTGGATAAGGTGCAGTTGATGAAAAGTGCAAACCTTTACAGCCATTTGCGGAACTTAGGGCGCGGGCCTTTTTTTTTCTCGCACTTTTCAACGAGAATGGTTATTTTGAGCTCAATTCTTGTCCGTTTGCCTTAAGAATATGCTCATTCTATCCGCAATGAGAATGCGGAGGGCACCACAGTCCTCATTTTCCCTGATGCAATCAGAATTGCCTTATTGGGGAAAGTATCGGCCTTTTTCTACAGCTTGACCAATCTCGGGTTTAGTTTGGGTGAAACACCATTCAAATCGGGCCTTAACAATGGAGTTTGGCCCAAATTAACTTCCCATTATCCCTACATCAACCTGCTTGCCACCTGAGCGCACTTTAAACCAGCTTTCAACAAGTATTGATCAGATCACCAACATCGGCAAAGTGCAGACCCACCTCGGCACCACCTCGGCAGTGTATACTGGGGTTAAGAAAGGGTCAAGACCTGTTTGCGTGGTTGACATTCATGGCTATGGGTAAGGGTGCCCTGCAACTGTGAAAATATGGAGCAAGACTGACCTAAATCTCATCCAGCAGCGACCACCCGTCGAACCCGTCAAACGGACGGCAACGGGTGACCCGTCGACGGGTTAACCCGTCCGTACCGGCCGTTGAAAACGGGGACGGGTTGGAGCCCTAGTCAGAGCATGAGGGAGAGCAACGCTACGGGGAAGATTGGCCGATAAGCGGTGCGTGATGATGCGTGATCACGCAAATATTGCACCGGATCCGTTCCCTTACAGGATTTGGGAAAAACACAAGGACAGGTTAACGTTAAGTCGGAAAGAAAACGGTCTGAAGGAGGAGGCAAAAAGTGTAATTCAGATGAGTAAATTCCCTTGTCGGGTAGCAAACTCACACCAAAATTTTACAGGAATGCATTCCAACACGAATCATATACTGTACGACCCTGTATGGGAGCAACGGTCACGGTAACAGGAGCCCTGTTGCGTTGCTTGTTTTTGGCGGTGTCACAGTCGTGATAGAGGCCGTTGCCTTTGAAGAAATTGTGACATTAAAATAAATTGGTCTACAGAAAATACGGCAAAATCTCTACTCGTTGTCACCAGAGTTTTAATCGTCTCAAGAGCCCTCTCCTTCCTCCTCTGAGCTCTCTTCATCTGCGGCAGAGACTCCGGCCTAGGTACTCGTTACCTCAAGTGGCAACCGGCGGGGCCCGTTGCCTGAAAAAAAGGCAACGAAGGTGTCACAGTCCTCGAGTTGTTGCTCCCATACAGGGTCGTACAGTACATCATGGGTCAATATCGGTTGAGGTTGGCTGTAAACGGTGACTAAAAATGAGTTTAAAAATAAAATTTCCAAGACTCGTAATGGCGGCCATCTAAGATGCCGAGATCTCATCCAAATATAGCCGGATCCGGGATTCAAGATGAGGTGTGCAAAGTCATGATACCAACAGCCAAGCAAGGATGGCCACCAGGGAATCTATCTCACACTGGGGCTGTCAACCAAAGAGGTCGCTGCATTATGGTTCTGGTTGGCCCAAATCCCGGGAAAGAATCTGGTGTATAGGGAAGGGCTAGGGATCTCAGTCAAGCTCATGTGGCAGGTTTTTTTCACCATGACTCTCGACCACATCTGTGCTATATCTGAACCATAATAGTTCATCAAACCCGGTGTGTCTGTCATTCTCAAAGAAGGAATCTTTGAATAAGAATTGTTGCAGTTTGGAAGGTATGAGGGCCCAGAAGCAAAGCAGACTTGAGACTGGAATATTTCAACCTTGCAACCCAGTCAGGCCCCATCCTGAAGGATGAAATTCAACTGGCACTAAAGATGGAAAACCTAATACAGGTGTCCCCAGTGATCAACTATATTTTTAAGGCTTGGACATCATCACATGTGCAGCAGCAGAAGAGATGAACAGTGGCCAATGAGAGCAAAAATTCCCAAGCCTTCCGAGTACAAAGCCCCAATCGTTTCGAGATGCTCTGACCCCACCAACATGCCTCGTCAACCAACGGTAACTGAACTTCGTTTGAACAACATCTCAAAGTGTGTGGCTATCACGGCCAACACATTTGATGTCCTCGTGAACACACTCAAGATCTCTGGCCTCGAGGCTATTTCAAATACCATCCAGTCGCTTTTGAAATTGTTGCAGGTACATATCCACTGAATTCATAGTGAAACAGCGCTGAGCTGGTGTCATAGACTATCAAACAAGATAAAAATGAGTGTGCTGAGTTGATGGAGCACACTCATGAGTTATTCAACACAATTATTGCTGTTTATATTGAGTCTGACACTGGTGCTGAATTGCCACCAAGCACATTGAATCAGATTGCAAAATTCACTGAGTATTTCTAAACCCTAACCCCATCTACATTTCTGACTTGTGGATTTAGAACCCTTCACAAAATTCATACTTTTGTTGAGGCTCAACAAAGTGGCAGCAAAGTCAAGAAGTTTTTCCGCCAGGGAGAACTGGCTGCTCTACTCAAGGATTGCAAGGCAGGTTTGCAGCATGGGTTTGATTTCTTTAATGTAAGTA